AAAGAAAAAATAGGGGGAAAGGGGGAAAAAAAGGGGAAAAAGGAAAAAGAAGAAAAAAAATGAAAGAAATAAAGAAGATAAAAGGAGATAGGAGATAAAAAAGAAAAGTCCTGATGGGGTCGGCCAGGCCTTACCTCGGACGATCTGCAGCTGCTGCACCATCTCTTCCCGGTACGCCAGTTCCCGCTTCATCTGGTCCTGGAAGTTATCTGCGGGACGGGGGGTCAGCACCGCTCCCGGTGCGGGGCCCGCTCCCGGCCGGGGCGGGGGATGAGCGGGGGACAGGTCAGCGGTACCTTTCAAGCTCTGGAAGTCCCTCTCCAGCTTTTTCCTCAGCTCCATTTGCTCCAGGACCAGTTTTTGTAACTCATCTGTTTTAAAAATACACGGCGGGGTTGAGGGGAGCCCGCACTTTTCCATCTGGAGGCGGCTCAGCGCGGCGCTAATCGCATTACGTTACATTAATCACAGGAGTTAATCACTCCCGCACAAAACACAAATACCTCGAGCCGCGGGGAGAGGCCGGGGGGTGCCGCCGGCCCCCCTCCCCCTCCAACCCGCCCCGTCGGGGCGCCGACCCCCGCACTCCTCGCCCCGCACCCCCGCCTCACCTCGGGCCAAGTTTTCGATGTCCTTCTCCACCAGCTGCGTCCCGGTGACATCCATGGCAAGGCCTTCCTCTCCTGCGGGGGGGGCAAAGCGCCGTCAGCCCCGCCGGGGGGGCTCCGCGGACCCCGCATCGCCCGCGGAGGGGCCGCGCATCGCCCCGCGGGGGAGCGCGGAGCGGGGCTTACCTCTGTCGGTATTTACAGGGCTGGGATGAGAGACATTCCTTTGGTCCTGATAGGATTTTCTGGTCTCTAAATCCTCTGCCGCGGAGTGATTGTCTTCTTTATCTTGCTCTTAAAGTTAATAAACCGATTTTCAACCATAAGCAATGAAAGTATGGTCCTGATATATCCTTAATTACATAATTACGGACAAAGCCCTCGTTAAAACCTTCTTAGCGGACATCCTAATCGCTTTGCTGTTGGAAAGTAGCTTGTGGGCAGGAGCTTGGCCCTCCCGGCCCATCCCCGCCGCACCGGCAGCGGCCACGGCGGCATCGCCGGGCCCGGGGGGGCTCCGGCCCCGACCCCCGCCCGGGAACCGTTTGTTTCGCTTTTCTCCCGAAATCCCCCCAAACGAAAGCGGCGGCCCGGGTGCCCCCCCGGGGCTGAGCCGCCGGCGGGGGCCTCCCCCGGGGCCGCGCCCTCGGAGCGCCCCGTCCGCCCGCCCCCGGCCCGCGTTACCCTTGGCCTCGGGGGTGCAGAGGAAGGCGGCGGGGGCTCCCAGGGACGCGGCGGGTTTCAGTGGCTGCAGGGGCTCCCCCCTCTCCGGCGCGAACACCTACAAAAGAGCGAGTCAGGGCCCCCGGGCCGGCCCCTCGGGGACCCCCGAGGGCAGGTCCCTCCCGGCCCCGCACCTCGTAGGCGCCGCCGCTGCTGCTGCTCCGCTCGGGGCTGCCGTCGGGGGCCGGGCCGCCCTCCGTGGGCACCTCGCCCGTCTTCTCCTCGGGCCCGTCGGCCCCGGCGGGCGGCGGCTCCTCGGGCCCCGCCAGCAGCCGCGGCGGTTCCCGGCCCTCGGAGGGGACGGCGGCGGCGGGGACGGCGGCGGATTCCTCCTCCTCGTCCTCCGGGAAGCGGTTGGACTCTACGTCCACCTCGGGCTCCTCGGCCGTGTCCCCCCCGGGGGACAGCGAGCGGTAGCTGGAGCTGCCCTCGCTGAGGAAGTCCGGGGAGAGGTAGCCGGGGCCGCGGGGCCCCGCGCCGCCGAACGCCTCGCGGGTGCCGTAGAGCTTGGCGATGCTCTCGGCGTCCTTCACCACCGGGCGGAAGGCGGACAGGTAACTGCCCTTCCTGGGCAGCGGCAGCGGGGCGAGCAGCGCCTCGTCCCCGGAGCGCTCCTCCTCGCCCGCCGCCCGCGACAGGGCGCTGGGGCAGCGCTCGCCCTCCCCCCCCGCGCCCTCCTGGGGGGTCGCGCTGCTCCTGCCGCTGCCCGAGGGCTCGGAGCCCTCCAGCTCCCCGTGCCGCCCCGCCAGCCCCGCCGGCTCGGCCGCCGCCGCCGCCGCCGCTGCCGCCGCCGCCACCACCACGGCGGTGGCGGCCGCCTTGGCCG